ATGCCTCATTTGCCAGCATACACGAAATGATCAGCATCGTCCAGATCTATCTCTTGCTGTCTACCAAGGTTTACATGTAAACAATCTCATACAGAACACATTAATCTACCCAACGGTACGAAAAAAACATAATTACCGTTTCCGACACGTCATAAGGGTAATTAAAGATATATGTTGTACTTTTTCTCCAAACTGCCAGGTGGCGCTGCTCATATCAAAATTTTGACGCAACTTCATTGACCCGTCGCTTGGTAACGGAGTGACGTGAGACAAAATCTTTTTAAGAGATTGTTAGGGGATGTTTATTCTTTCATTTAAGACACAATCTTAATAATCAATGGTTATTAAGGTCTCATTCCGGTATTCTTCCGCGTGGGTACTCTAAAGTAGATCGTACTAAAAATTAAATGCGTGTATGGATGTGTGTTTATATCCGCCAGAAATTGCATTTTAGCTAAGTCAGTTGGCGTAAACCGTTTGTGATATGAGAGGTTGTTTGTATGTGCTAAAATTAGTGGGTAAGTGTTGACATCCGCGCGACAGGTCGGATGTTTACACGCTGTTGTGATGGGTAATGCGGTCAGGAGGTAGCAGCGCTGGAGGACCTCTGGCGGAGAGTGGCCAAGTGCAGTTATACATACATACATACATACATACATTTTTAATGGATAAAAAGGCAACTGCCTGTGTGATCCATATCTGAAACCTTAAAACTACTACATTACAATAGATAAATTACAAAAATATAAAATATACATTGTCCTCGCTAATACATGTACTTTGGCGATAGTTACTTAAACAGTTTATAAATAAACTAGATAGTAATATTAGCGGTTGCTAATATAGACAGGTTTGCGTTGTACATAGTCATTGTAGTGTAACTTACAATATGTTTTTTGTGTGTGCTTTACCTTTTACAGGGTTCCTTCTCATCCTTTTCTAATCCCCACTTACCTTGTAAACAATTTCGTCATCAATATACTAACAAAAGAACAATAGTTACACCCAAAACAAAATTTCACTTCTTTATGACTTCTCTATGCCCCATGACCTTTAACCTTTTGAGGGTCATGCAGGCGTCAACAGCGCCCTCCCCACGCCTTGCCCACCTACCTACCGAACTACCTACCTACCTACCGAACTACCTACCTACCTACC